TTGATACCTGAAAAATATCAAAATGTAATAAACAAGACCACATTGTTTTTTCTCTTTGCATACATAAACATGATAAAAAAAGCGAAGTTTATTCCAACAAATATAGAACTGAATATGCTTCATAATTGCAATATATTTATTATTTCACTTTGATGGAGCATTGAACTTTTTATTGCTTGTGTTTTCATTTATGTACTGAAGAGAATGTGAATATAGGTTTTGATAATGTGTAGAATATATAAAGAATTTTATTACGCATCGTTCCTACATATTAATTAAACGATATGTCTCTTTCGAATAAAAAATATGTGATACTTAGAGATAAGATCTTCATATGAATAATGGGTGTGTGCGTGTGGATGTGGGGTAGCGGCGGTGCCAGTATTTTCAGTCTGAGGGGGCTCAGTCCCATGCACTGAAAAATTGTGAGGCGGCTCAAATAGTTTTTTGCTGGAACCAGTGGGGCTCGGCGGCATTATTAATATGAATTTCGAAAAATTCTGGGGGAGGGGGGCTCAGCCCCCTCTAGCCCCGCCTAGCGCCGCCACTAGTGTGGGGTGTCGGGGTTTCAGTTTGGGTGTGTGGGTGTTTCCGTTTTCTTATTAGCCATACCAACACCCATGCACTCCCATACCCTCAAGAATACCTGCTGGTTCGTTTTCTCTTCCCCTTCTTTCATCTGTTTTTTCTCTCCCCGGATACATACACCATCCTTCAAATTGAAATTTTTCTCAATATTTCAAAAATTGAAAAATCTTTTCTTTCTTTGTTTTAATTGTGAGTGTTTTGACCATCACTATCAATGTGAATATATGCATGTATGCATATTGGCACGACATACAAAGGCAGGAAAAAATTGAAGAAATATGGATCCAGTCTGTAACAATTGAAGGTTCCAATGTAAAAAATTATGGAACAAATCATATTAAAATTATATGCTATGAATCGATTTTTCATTGTTTTTTAATGAAATAATCTCTAAAACGGAATTTTCGTCGACTGTTTCACCTATTTTTGATTATAATCGATTAAAAGTAGTTACAGAACCTTGATTTTAACTGATGTTTTTTTTACCAACTTCTAATAAATTATGATCGATTTTTTTACACAATTGTAATCGATTGGAATCGAAAATAAGTGAAATAATCGATGGAAATTTAGCGTTTTAGACTATTTGATTAAAAATCGATAAAAAGGGTATGATTTTAACCGATTTAATGAAAAATTATTTGGTTTTTCTGTCAAAATTTGTTTGCATGGGTTTCATATCGTATCATACTAAGAAATGTATGAATATGAAGGGGTGTGTAGGAAGCTACCACGACGCGTTTCGACTTTGCTTAGAAGTCTCATCAGGTGGCTTAAGGTCTTCAAAATCGATTAAAAAATTCAAAAGAAAATTTTGAACAAATCAATCGAATTTAGAAGGACGATAGCGAATGAAACTCATTCAAGTCTGGTTCTATTCGATGGGTTCTTTTGTCAGCCGTAGAGAACGTAATCTATAAGGAATGGCGTTATATTTTTATATACGTGTACTGTTCGTATTGAAGTTTGTTTTGGCATTTATCGTAGCTTGATCGTCGGAAAGTTTCGTAGTCTCTTCTTTTGGTTAAATTATTCGATCAGAATTTAATCAGTGTTTTTCAAATATCTTTTGAAGGTGGAGAAATCTTTTGTTTTATATCTAGAATGCAAATTGTTTGTTAGGTTGTTCTTCGAACTCATAGGTATACTATAAATGACATAGAGAAAGAAAGTAGTTGTTGGCTCATTCAATTCAAATTGATAATGGTTATGATTAATAGGACAAAATATGGATGTTTTGTTTTTATATTCGTTTCGTGTCAATTAAAATTTTTAATCAGATGTTGAAGTCGGTATCGTTTGAAGTTGTAAGTGTCGCAGTGGTTTGACGTGACACTTGTCGGTTTCAATCAATTGACGGCCTGTCGTTCAGGTTTCTTTTTTATTGTATCTGAAACATAGTATGGCTTTTTATCAGGGAAAGTCCCGGATAAATGATAAAATCTCACTTGGAAGCTATTTTGGTTTCAGCATTGTTGGTTGTGGTCTTTTTTGTACTAACTCATGTCCAGTATTACGATGATTTCGATGTCCAACAATGAGTCGAAGGTCCATGGATAGCGTATTTTGAAATATTTCTGAATAAATCTTATGTATGTCGCGTTTCAGACAGAGATGGGCGAGTCCAGCCTTTTTTCGAGTCAAGTCAAGTCCGAGTCATTAAAAAAATGTGACTCGAGTCGACTCGAGTCCGAGTCATGACTCGAACTCGCCCATCTCCGGAATGCAGAGATGGGTAAGTCCAGCTTTTTTTCGAGTCAAGTCAAGTCCGAGTCATTAAAAAAATGCGACTCGAGTCCGAGTCATGACTCGGACTCGCCCATCTCTGGTTTCAGAGTATGTAAATTAATTAAAAACAGATCAACCTATCTTGCATAGAAAAGATAAATCAATCTGCTAGTCTCAACGTTTGCTTTTCAGCAATCGATTTAAGTTGAAAATTAGTATATAATATAAATTTATATTTGAATGTGCTTGAATTTAAATAATTGAATTAAAAGAAATGCAGAGTTTAATTTTGCCGACGCGTTTCGTGTATTTATTTAATAATAGGAAACACTCATCAGGGCTCTGCATTATAATAAAAAAGCACAAAATTTGAATTAATTTAAATAATAAAGAAAAATTCTACGTATAGAACTAAAAAAAGTACAAGTAATTAAGATACTGTACAAAAAGATAATAAAGATAATAAAACTACTTTCAAAAATCAAATGAACTAAGTTACAAGCAATTAATTAGAATGAAATATTTACACAGAAATTTTCAAAATGAAATAATTTATAAGAATGAATATTTTAAATGAATAGTGATAAACACAAACAGATGGAAGTTCAAGAATATCGTCATGGTCATGATGTAAATAAAATATTCTTACTAATGATGCGAATAGTAAAGGTTGAATTGTAACCATAATTATTCTTCGTTTAGTAAACAGATTAACCTATCTCTTAACGAAGAATATAAATTAATCTGCTATTCTCAACTCTTGCTTTTCAGCAATCGATCAAAGTCGAATAATTAATATATTTGTGCTTGAATTAAAAATAAAAATGCAGAATTTTATTTTGCCGACGCGTTTCATGTTTATTTTATTATTTAAAAATTTGAAACACTCTTCAGGGCTCTGCATTAGAAATTGAGCACAAAGAAAGAATTAAAAATCGAATAAAACGAAAGAGAAAAGGATAGAAGAAAACAAAAGATATATGAATAGGTTACAATGACAAAAGTAAAACAATCAAACATAATCAATAGTTAGGATAAGGGAGATCGAAAAGATAAATAAAATCGGCATATGTTCTGAATTCGATTGTATATTGAATATGGTCTCAGAATTTTGGATGATCTCTTCTTGACTTTATTTGTATCTTCACTATTAACTCGACGATAATACTGCCATAAACAGTAGTTATTAAGATAGGTTTGAATGACATTCTTCGGGATAATATTCTGTGATAATAGAATACAGTATTGCGTTTCGATTATCTGTACCCGTATTATGCCGAAATTTGCTTTCCGGGTATTTTTCTGAAATCCGTTTCCAGCTGATGTTAATAGTGGTTATATGAGCATATTCATCTGTTAATGTACAGGGAATTCACCTGACGTATTTTATAATGTAATATAATATAAAAGCAATATAATATAAAGCGTACAAAGTAGGCCATACCAATGGTGTCTTCAAAAATATTTGAACGTCTTGTATTAAAATGAGCAACTATATGTTTGAGCGTTGGATTTTTATTATAGATAATATCAACGTAAACCGGAATTGTCTTTAAAATGTATTCCGGGTCCATTTTTGTCTACTGTATGTAGTATCTCTATTATGTTTGCTCTTTCCCATGTGTACAATGTGCTATTGTTGTGGACGCAATTTCAGTGGTATTGAACATGATGTAGTCACTCTATTTATTTAACAAAATTAGTTCTTAAATTTGAGTAGCAGTAAAATTCTATTACATTATTATGATTTACTATAATTTTGTAAATTCTTGAAGGTTCTAAAAATTTGTTTTGAATTTTCGTTTAAGAATAATTCATTATAATTTTAAGCCATCTGATGATGACCATCTAAGCAATGGTCGAAATCTAGATCATGGCAGCTTATTCACACTACTGTTTTGAATAAAATAAAATCTTCTATTACATTATTATGATTTACTATAATTTTGTAAATTCTTGAAGATATAGCAAAATTTGTTTTGAATTTTCCATTTAGAATAATTCAGAATAATTTTAAGCCATCTGATGAGACTATCTAAGCAATAGTCAAAACTAGTCATGGCAGCTTATTCACACCCACACCCACACCCACCCAACTGATTCTGATGAGTTAATTGTTATTGCGATTTCATCACATTTTTTTATGTGATCTAGATCCACTAGGTGAGTCATGTTTCACTTTTAATTTCATTGCTTACGCTAGTCATTTTTTTTGTTTTACTGAAGATTAGCTGCATGTCAATATTGAGCACAGTTTATGTCTCGTCCAGGCTTACCAAATCCAAATTTCAGAAATCAGAGATTTTAGAGAAAAAAACAGGAGTTTATCAGGAGAAATTTTCTTGTAAATCAGGAGGAAAATCAGGAGTTTTTTCAGATATATAAGAAGCATTATATGAGTCATATAATATGACTCGTATTAGATGCGATTTTACCTTTGATTGATTATGTATATTAATATGAACATGTTTTAGTCTTCCATATCAAACTAATGATAAAAAGTTTCATACAAGTATAAATATGGACTAAAAGAAATAATAATTTTAAAGTTTATTTCGATATTTATTTTATCAATAGGCATTAGAAAACAAAAAACAACATAGAAAGTCAATATTAAATCATCGATTAATATTAATCAAATATATAAAATAGAAAAATATAAAGCCAATCATTGACTAATAAATTCATGGTACTTTTGCAATATGACTGTATTTTTCTGACGATCGAATTTTTTTGAGTATATCGGGTTTAGTTAAAAGATAGTCATAAAACTCTGTACATGTTAAATGGGTATTCATTTTAATCTTTAATTCTGCTCCAACTAAATCATGTTTCATCTTATTTCTGTTATTATTCCATAAAAAATTCATATGACTGAAAACTGATTCACAAAAAGAATTCGAGGCAGGAATAGCAAATACAAACTCAATCAATTTTCGTAAATTAGGTACATGTTCACCATCAAGTAAATAAGCCCATAGATGATCAGGTCGAATCGATTTATTCGTTTTCTTATCTTTGTAAATCTCGGCATCAGGTTTATCATCATTAGTGTCACTATCATCAAGATTATCTTTAAGATCACAATCATTGCATAAGTTTGTTCTATTTTTAACTGCTGCTCCATTATATTTCGATTGACCCAAATTCGAAACAATAAATGATTGTACTTGTGTAGTGATTCCACCGAATCTTTCTTTTAAATCAATATATTTTGATTTGATATGAGTAAAGTCATTATATAAATCATCGAGATCAATTGTTTGATTGGCAACAAAAGTAGAGCATTGTTGAATAAATTTCCATTCGACTTTTTCAATATCAAGTTCATCGAAAATGGAAATGGATCGGTAAAAAGATTTATAATTATTATAATATTTTTCAATATAATCGATAACTGAACGAATAAATAATCTAAATGATTGTTTCAAATCACCAACTTGTTTAATTGGGCAATTTTCAAATAGTTCATCAACTTTATAACCGAAGAAATCATCTTTTAACCGATTCTGTAATTTACGAAGTAAATTTGTGATAATGCCATGTATACTAACACCAGTTGTATAATTTCGTTGTAACAATAAATTTGCATTTTGTACTTCTGGTAAAATATTTGCTAAAAAGAATAACGTACATTCACCTATAAAGACAAGATAAATTAATATATATGTTGTTGCAAACCGAAATGATTACTGTTATGTGATGTAAAAAATTCTAACAATAACTCCGGACATTCACCACTCTGCAAATTCAAAAAATAACTTTTAACAATTGGATGGACACCAATGAGACGTTCAATAGATCGTAGAAGACTTAACCATCTCAATTTAATATGTTTAAGGATAACCTAAAATGGAAACATTGTATTCACATTCACACTATATTCGAAAATAGAATGTGACCATTCACCTGTTGTTCTTCATCAATAAATTCAAAATAGTTCGTTAATTGCTGAGAACGAAGAGATGATCTGCAAAAATGAGAGTATATTTTCAGCAATGCTGTTTCAATATCAAACAACAAATGTTCATGTCCATGTTTAACTGAATTGTGTAGTACGTGACAATAACAAGTTCCTAGATTAAGAAAATATTTATAAAGTGACTAATGAAAATTTTGATATATTAGAATATCTACCTTTTATTAATCCAGGTAAAAGTTTTTCGAATAAAGCAAATACACTGTGATGATTGCCAACATTGACATTGGTGTTATCAGATCCAAGTGAAACTAATTGATTCAATTTTAATTCATTCGCTTCCAAAACATATTTTATATTTTTAAATAAAGCATCAGCTGATTCATGCATTTGTTCGATAAATTCAAGAATACCATGTTTAACGCCAGTTTTTGAAAAGAACTGTACCACAATTGGAACCATCTTAGCATTTCCTTTATTGGATGCATCATAACAAATTGAGAAAGATGAAACGTTTTTTAATTCAGCAACAATATAATCTGTAAGAGATGGTGCAAGTACATTGCATGCTATTTCACGAGCCTAAAGAAGAAATATGAACTACCATAGTTATAACTTCATTTCATCAACATTATACCTACTTTAGTTCTATCACAAGTAATATTTTTTACTGTAGATGAGTCAGGAAAACATTTTTTAATTGTATCGATTGTGCAACCGTGTGAAATGTAACTATGAGAGTGTTTAACAGTATGAAATACCATCGCACCTTCAACAGCACACAATTTATTGAGTTCAGTTGTTGTAATATTAAATGTACTATAAATTCTATTTGCTAAAAAACATATACAAAAAACTCCAGCACTACAATTAATAGCATTAATTCTTACATGGATTAGCTTCAGCAGATTTTGTACGATCTTGATGTTTCTTGGTTTGAACATGATGATTGATATCTCCAACTCCACTGTTTAGGATAGAAAATTGTATATTACAAGTAACACATACAGCTTTTGTTTGGTCGGTTTTACATTCACGTAAAAATGTAGAAAAATAAGAGTTAGACAACCATTCTTTTTTGAATTTTGATTGATAACGTTTATTAATTCTTGATGCTGATGGTGATGATATTTTAGCAATTATTGTATTTGTAGTTTTCGGTGGCAAAGAAATAGCTTTATCTACTGGTACTGTTTCGGATGATTTCGAAACATAATTATTTGATGATGATGGCAGGTTCGATATCTCCATAATTTCGTCTTCTGACGAAGACATCGTATATGAAAACAACTGGTAAATGTATTAAGTTCTTTTGATCGAGAAAATTCAGTTTTACTTTAAAAAAAAATAAAAAGTAAAGTGTTTTCTTATTCGTTATGATATTCATGAAATACTGATTGTATTCTCTTCTTTCTTTCTTAAAGTTTCTATAAGGTGAAGGTGTCACTGATTGTCGACTAAAGAAAGACAAGAATCAGGAGAAAATTATAAAAATCAGTGGAAAATGACCAAAATCAGCTCCTGAAATCAGGAGATTTTCAATCAGGGAAAATTAAAAAAACCAGGAGACTCCTGGTCAAATCAGGAGGTTTGGTAGCCCTGATAACGATATCCAGTCGAGTGTCGTTGTTGAAATCACCGACGGCGATTACCCACGGGTTCATGCCGGTTGGAAATGTCGTTTGTGCTGCAAATGATCCATTGCCATATCCAAGAAGGACACCCCCATTGTTTTCGTTACCATTAATGACAGCGATATCCAATCGATAATCATTGTTGAAATCCATAACGGTGACCGACCATGGACTGCTGCCGGTTGGAAACATCGTTTGTGCTGCAAGTGTTTCGTTCCTTTGTCCAAGAAAGACGCCCGTACTGTTAACGTGAGAAAGACCGATGGCTACATCCAGTAGAGTGTGGTTGTTGAAATCTCCAACGGCAATTGAGTTAGGAGGATACTGGCCAGTTGCATATGATAACATTGGTGCAAACTTTAAATGGCATATTAGAGCTAAAAAGAGTGTATCAATGTAGTGAAGAATACAGACGCGTTCTCTGAACGTCAAAAATACTGTTTATCATCATCGGGATTGCTGCTTCTCTAGCTTTCCAGGCGTGTTTAGGATAGAAATTTTGCACCCCGCCCCTCCCATAGACCCTCAGATACAGGGTGTAGATTCATCACAAGTAGTATTAAAAATGCAGGGAGGACAAAGAGGTGAAGCTATGATTATAATAAACCTCGATAGACATCTTTGGGTGTCATCGTACAAGTAAGAACCAGATAGTCATACTATATCGATAACATCTATGAGCTGCTTACGTTTTTCACTTGCAGGTGATGCATTACAGTATAATGACAGATTAGTCCAGAAATAGGCGGAACAATACTCTTCTGTGATAAAAATCAACAGTTTCGTCGTGTTTCACATGTGAATCCCAAAGGGATTGCGCTAACAGCATTTTCGTATAAAAAAATTTCCTTTCTAAGAAGGTTTTGCACTTTAAATTATCATAACATATCTCTCAATGCCAAACAGTCGGTGATCGCTCACTTCAACTGTCTGTTGCTTTCCACTTTTTTTATCTGTGAAGTTGGGAACCCTGATCTTCATATCGAGTATACAATGGCGCCGCTTACCTGGAAATGTCGTGGAAGACGAATCTCTGCTTTGGCTACCCAAAACTGCCGCCAAGATGATCGTCACAATGATGATTACTGCTGCTATACCGATGCACATGCGTACTCGCTTCTGAGCGTACCAACTACTACGAAAAACTATGCATTGACACAAAGATGTATCGAAGGCATATACTGAGTTTTCATCCCGTAAGTAATTTTACTTTCCTATAGGGGTCTTTCTTCAGAAGATTAATATATACACAAGTTGCCTAGAAGGTTCGTTTCGAAAAATAATGTAGTTTGAATGTGAAAGCTAACTCTTCCCATAAAGATCATTTTAGCCTTATGTTACAAGCCGCTGTCGTTCGACGCTAAACATCTACATAGAATAACAGCACTAATTTATCTATGCGGATGTGGGTGTGGGTGTTTCTGCAACCACACCCACACCCTTGTACTTGAGCTGACTTTATGGGCCCACATATACTGTCGAAGATAATGGTAAGTGTAAGTTTAAGGCGAAGTTTTCCAGCTCCGCTCCCCCACTTTACACAGTACAGGCATAATTAATTAGGCTCCTACTCACTAAAAAGAAGCCAAAGCAATTAGAATACTGCCATCCCCCACCCTCCACATCCTCATTACACAGAATAAGGACAAAAGCTACTCCTGTTCATTACAGGCACTCGAAACAAAGACACGGGTGCATTACAGACATTAGCAACCAGTATGTGCCCCGATTACAGACACTAGTAAATAGTGTACCCCACTATTACAAATCTCAGAAATAACACAAATCCTTACGAAAGATTTTTCACTTTACCTGTTTTGCATCAGTTTATTTTATGATTCCTTCACGAATCTAGATTTCATCTATAAAATTATCATGAAAACATTCAAATCTAATGAAAACTTCAAGCTATAGAAGATCATCGGGATTCTAGAAATTCTGAAAGTTTCAACTCTATTCTGCTAGGTCTTGGGAAGATATTGAAGAAACAAAATGAAGACAACATATTCGGTCTCCCTTGTATCGGCCATGTACATCCGCTATTTATCAGTCTTTGATGCTATGATTCTTACTGTGCTCAAAGCCAGATTTTGTATTCAAGATCTAGCTCTGTTTCATATTCTTTCTTTGTGCTCATGGTCGTTCTCTCGACACTCGAGATTGGCGTATTGATTCATGAACTGTGTAATTTCTTATTTTCTTGATATATTAACCTGCATCTTCAATGCGAGGCTCTTGTTCAGATAAAAATGACAGCTACCTACCGATCTTGGCTGCGGATCAACTGGCTCGTAACAGTTGACTCGCATTCAAACGATTCCCGTTCCATCTCCTATTCAGATAAATAGATCATTATTTTGTAACAACTCAGTTCGTATATACCTATTGTGTTCGAACTGGACTGATTCGACGATCGAAGCAATTGGGCACCTTCAAATGACAATTAAAATACGATGCACAAATTCAAAACAAATACTGGAACAAGGGTTGACACATTTTATTTTTAAATTGTTCTGATCAGACTATTTTCTTGCTTAATGCTAGATATTGACTTACACAACAACTTTGCTCACATCCGTCGATGATATCAAGAATACTTAATATTAGGGATCTCGATTTATATTTACCTTCGAAAGGTTCCTCGAGGAGATTATATGGCGGCATTTGTTGTTTCAAATGAATAATCCAGAGATCTTGCGCCGGATTTAATTGTGACATAACTTCAAAATAGGTTCCCGGCAATAGCAATATTTCATCTTCAGTTGGGTAATCCGAGTAATTGCTCACTCGTCGTCCATTGAATGATTCGATTGAAAATAGAGTTCTCTTACCGACTTCGCCCATATATATATATCGGACTCCAGAATATCCAACGATGTTGTGCACGACGAGAATCCCCACCATGGAAATTTGGCACCCTTAGAATATGCACCACTCTGATCTTCGTGCACGCCACGCCAGAAGACTTCCATCCGCCATATTATCAACCCGGTCCCATTCCATAGTGTACAGACAAATGGCGGCTGACTCGTCTCGAGTCAAACTATTGCCATGACTTTTTGAATTCTCTAGGGCACGAGACACATACAACGATAGACGGCAAACGATTAGCAGAAGTGGCTCGCAAGCGTCTTCCAGAGAAAGCAGCGGGCCGCCAGCATAACCGGAAATAGGCTCAAGCATTTTCTGCGACTCATGTGTGGAGCCCAGTAGATAGTATGCATTATGCGCTTTACGTAAATTGATCGACATGTAGGAAAGTTCAAAATTTTATGATATCTATTTGTGACAAAGCAATTAAAAAAATCACTACTTTATGTAAGTGAAGCGCTCATGCATATCGCATAAATATTATGCGGGCATCTATTGCGCGACGCGTCACGATCGACATAGAAGAGAAGAGAACGCAAGCGCATGACTCATTAATACATTTACGCTTATGATAAAATGTGTGAGTCAAATCGTCTACATAAATTTGATATTCTTGAGACGCGTGCTGACAGACATGCGACTGGTGTGTTTTGCAAGGCAGTGTTACAGTAGTTTTGGTTTTTTCGAAATGTTCGAATCGAAGAACAGAGACTGCAATAGAGTCAAATAATAATCAAAATTTTCGAAGAATTCAACTCATTTCAAAGTAAAAAATAAAGAGGCTCTTACTCATTTTTTATGCGTTAGCGTCAGTAGATGACACTCGTTGATGCTAAGCGTTTCTTCGTGTTATCCGTTGCTATAATCTCTATTTTGATTTGTTACGTAATATTTCTACTATAACTAATCCTTGTGATTGATTTTCGTTCGCTATCACGCAGTTGTTGGTTCTTCTTTTCCCCGGTTATTACCAGCGTTATTATTATTATTATATTCTTCACTGATGATTATTGTTATACTTCTTCATTAGAAAATATAATATATTAAAATATATTATTCTATTAAATGTATAACCATGTTACGGCAACAAAGTACGACAGGCAGTCTATGTAAGCTCTCTAAATGTTTAGCAGACTAACTATTAACTCTACTAATTATTATACATTCCCCAAAAGAGAGCCTTCAGATCATGACGCTTCGATAGAGGACGCGTGCATATTGAGCAATTTTGGCCTATCTCAGTTTTTCTCTCAATGCAGCTACTGTTTGATACCAAAGTTATCTAGAGTGATTTTAATCGAAGAAGACAAGTTCAACCTGTTAGCCTCAATTCTTGCTTTTTAACAGTCAATTAAGTCGAAATAGTTTCAAATTATATATAATTTGCTTAATAAAATAATCAATAAAGAGAAATGCAGAGATAATTTAGCCAACGCATTCCGTGTTATTCATTAAAATATAAACATTCATCAGGGTTCTGCGCTACATAATTTAAGCGCAATATTTAGAAAAATTGGAAACAATTGTAAATAAAAATGACTTATCTTGACGATAAATATAAAAATTAGACCCATGTCATGTTTTTATATTTTATTTCTACAGATGTCTCAATTGCATCTTTATGTCAAGCATATAATATATTATCGGTGTCAGTAGTTTAATCGATTTCACATTGAAATGCATCCTCTTAATGGCTAAAAAAACATGGATCACTTCAATAGGCTATCGCGTGCTTGTTATCCAAGTCAAGTTACGTAGTGTTAATACTGCAGATTTCTGGACAATGAGTCGAATATCTGCGCAATATAGCTTTCGATTTCATCATGATATCATTCATTCGTCTATTATTTCTTTCCACAATCGATGAGCCATTCCTATTTCCTCACTTACAGCAGTTACATCACGAAGATCATGTTGAGGCAATAATTTTATATTGTTTTTGATTGTGTTCAGTTTTTCAAGAGTGACATCGTGCTGAATACCTCTACCTGCATGAAAATCTGGTAAAGGTATACGCGTACGAATTTGAAGTTTACGCTTTATTATTTCAGGCCAAGGTGTATATTGATACTTTGCAATAAAACCAATAGGAGCCCATTTCCAGACAGTATCTCTGATTGTATGTCGACCTGTATCGTACTTAGCGAATGGATTACAATGTATGAAACGAGAATAAGATGTGATACCAAACTTTTCATCAGCATGAGTCGGACGATAGGTATATTGAGAACGTTGCTTTAACAGTGAAGTGAATCGTTTTAGTGGAATAGAGTCATTACCCGACATGGTCACTGACCGAAAACGAAATGCCTTTACACTATCGTTTGATTCTATATCAGCTAACATTTGACGAAGATTAGAATGGACAAGAAATTCAGGTGTATTTAAGGCAATTTTCCATGCATTTGGATGCATCTTTTCGTTTTCGACAACTTCTTCGTCGACTAATCGGCTATCAAAGTCTTTATTACGCGATGATACTACTTTCCAACTTGTTGGAGCTTCACGACGAATAATTTCTAATGATTGATCTGTACTATTATAGTCAATCAAAATGGCCATATCAAACATAGGTGCATGATGACGAATCCAATACGGTAATAAGAATTCTTCATTGAAAAAGTGAGAAATTAATAGTACAGGCTTCCGTATATTTGGAAAGATGAATGGCCAAGATAACGGTTTATTAGAGTTTTCGGCAAGTATTGTATTGTTATTTCGATGAATTTTAAGTAGCTGTTGATATGGAAATGGAAGTATGACGAAAACATTCTTGATTCCTTTTTCAACAGTGTCGCTGCGAATTTTGGCCAGAATTTCATCTCGAAAATTCCATGCAAATACGACAATAGTTAGTGGCTCAGTTGAAGCATGTTTGTTCAATTCCGATGTCGGACGCACTGGTATAGATGTACCAGGACAAAATGTATTTTGTTTCAATGGCGCATCATCGATGACAAACGAAATATTCCAAGATCGATTGGAAGTTTCTAATAGAAAATGTAACAGAACCATACCTTTAGCAGCAGCACCATATGCAATAATAGTATGATGTTGAGCTTGAATAGATGCTAATTGATGTGAAATCCATGAACGCATACCTTTAGCTTGAGCTTCATATTTGATGTAGAACCACGGATCAGTCATTCCAAGATTACGTTCTTTCTGTAAAGCTATTGACAAAGATGGTGTTAGCTCTGTTTTAAAACGAGTTAGAAAAGTGGTATTTGACGAATCTACCCGTTGAAATGTCACTAAGCATGAATGTCCATGAATTGATGTGATTTCGAATCGTACAATAGCCAGACCAACTATATCGGCAAGTTTTTTAAATGAATGTGCCGTGAAAAAAGATATATGCTCATGATAGACAGTGTCGAATTGGCCAGTTTCATACATTTCACACTGCGAGGTCTGAATATACAATTTAGTTCGCACACTCATCATAGAAGCGCAGGCTTGCAGGAATTGTATAGGATTGTTAACATGAGCAAGTACATTTTGTGCAATAATGACGTCCACAGATTCTAACGCTGATAATCTAGGAAATGTATCAATACCCCAGAAACCCGTATAAATAGTATGTCCCGACATTCTTGCAATATCGGCTAAGTTCTTGGCTGGATCAACACCTACAGTTCTCCATCCACGCTTGAGAAATTCGTTTAACTGACTACCGTCATTGCATGCTATCTCAAGTACAGTTCCATTTTTAATTTCACTTTCACTGATAGCTTTTTCAGCTAACCATGAAAAGTAAGTATTTAAAGTCTTACTTGTAGAGCTTTGGTATAAATAATGACTGAAAAGATATTTTCGATCAACAACATATGATATTTGTGTATGATGACAAATTGGACATCGTACTAAACGTAGCGGAAATCGTTTAGATTTTTCCGACTCTTCTATATCTGTTTTGAAATCATTGGCAAGAGGTTGACTATGTAAATTCAACACCGTATGCATGATACGTGAGCCACATACTACACATGAAATAGAATCATTATCTAAACGTGATTGTCGACCAAGACACAGCCGAGGTACATCTTCTATGAGTCTTGAGATGGTTTGATATAAACTACCTTGAAAATAAAAGTTAAACGTATTGCGAAATTTATTATTGTTTAGCGAGAATCCACGACTATCCTCATTCACGGGATGATCCGATGTTTTAATATGAGCTCCTGTAAGAGACGCAATCGTATTGGCTAGCTTAGATATACTAGCTGAAAACGATTGCAGATGAAATATATCAAACTTTTTGGCTTGTTTGCGGCGCATTATTACTGTATGAATAGCTCGTACAAGGTCTTCCATGCAGAGAAAAGCACGATTCGATTCAGGATGAGTGACATGCACTTTCCCGCTAAGAAAAGCTTTACAAACCAATGCCATGGGAGATAGATCAATTCGTTGACTTGCAGAAAGGCCGACAACAGTACCGAATCGTAAGCCAATCATTTGAGGAGTAGTGAGAGTGTCAAGTGTCATTTGCTTTAGTGTTTTTTCACGATGAAAAAGAGATTTTGAATATAAATCTAAGAGCTCAGATTGAATAGGATGATCTTCTGTAATCGGTATCGGCCCAGAGCCTTCGCCAACAGCAGACGTAGATGCAAATATTAACAGTTGGTGGGGTAACATTCGTTTAGCTAGATTATATATATCTTCTATGTTCTCTCGATCTACTTCAGTCGGATGATCTTGACAAATTGCCCGACCTGTCATCCCACCTAAGTATATTACAACTTCGAAGCTTTGAAGTTTGTGAGTCGATATTTCGTAACTGGCTTGTCCTGGAAATATACGATCAAAACCAATCACATTCCAGCTGTTCTCTTTTCGTAAGTGATCAAATAAACGTGAGCCAATGTATCCAGATGAACCAATAATAGCGATACGAACACGTCTAGATAAGAAATGTGAGTCTGACCACACGTATTTCTTGGTAAAATTCTCATAACGTTGTAATACATTTGAGAAAGTGTTTTTCAAACGAACGATATTTAGAGTACTGGCTATAATTACAATCAACAATAAAAGTACAGCAAGCCTTCGTTGTTTAGAAACAAATTTTAAATTCATTATTTCCTGTTCCTTTGTTCTAAATCAAAATCAATGTGTTTTAATTTACAGAATTGTAGAATGATAGGTCTTTAGAATCACGGTCGAAATTTCGCATATGTTTCTAGCCCATAAGATCATTTTATGTTACTTCTCAAACCTTGACTATTTAAAAAGACTTAGACTACGATAGTATAATTTATCGTTGGCTGATTAATCTGGTTCTCAGTCTGGTGCGTCATAAACTTACTAGAATAAATCATCTATCAAAAATATTCGAAAACGTTTTGAACCAGTAAAAAGAAACTACCTACTAAAAATCACTAGAAAATCTCCCAGCATTTGAATCTGAGACATATTTTTAAGAGTCTACTCAATGGCGTATAAGTCGAGTTCAGACCACAGACAATACTTGCTGACATATTTCATTAATTTATTTGTCTTATGTCGAAGATGACATCAAATTCAGTATTTGAGTTCGAATGGTCAAATTTGTGAAAATGTCCATATGTGCATTATTATAGATTTTATTTTTGACTATGACAAATTGTACCATCTGCTTAGAAATGAGGTAGTTCAACAATCAGATAAGTCATTTCAAGAGTACTAGATGCTTAGTGCTAGCGAAAAATTAAAATAGATGGTTAAGATCCTTTCTAAACATTACAAAAAGGAAAACAATGTCTTTTTGAAAGTTTGAAACATATGACATTAGTGCGAATAATTGGTTTGCACTTTGTTATTTATTATCTGGTGGCTACAAATGTATACAGTTTCCGAACTATTAGTATTCTAATGCTGATTGTCTTAGCCTTGTACATACCTGATCTATGTTTTCTTCAAATATCATGTATATTACTTGAAATTCTAAAGAAACTCTTGAATTTGTTTATATTCAATGAATATTGTAATTTTCTAATCCCATTCATTTAAAAAAGATGTAAGTCTTTGGACAAGCTTATCTAAAGAATTTTGCTCGTTCTCCGACAGATTACCATGGAACCGATGCGATCTTAATTTGGGGAAGAATGGTACACAATAATTGTAACTCAAACAATAAAACAAATCGTTTTCTCAGCACTCTGAATGATCTAGTGATCTTCCTATATAGAATGATAGAGTGAATGCGAGCAAAAAGGAGACTGGTCAGCTCGTATTCTAATCCACTTTCTTGCATATATTCTACATTAAGATGTGATCGAGCTACTTGAAGGTTTCTTAAAAAAATTCCCACATATACCTAGGTGGGCTATAACGATCATCTGAAAGATGGCGTTAAACTTCCTGAAACAGTCAAGACACGGTTTGATTAACGTCGTAAACAGTGGGAATTGATCGTCTTTTTTCATCGATTTTTTACCGCTTTTCATTAGTTCGGATTATGTGTCGTTTTCTCTCGGAACGTTAACTACATGGTTCAAAGCTTTTTCCGGCAAAAGACTGTTAGCGCAATCCCTGTGGGATTAAAATGCAAACCACGATGGAACTTCTTGTCTGGAATTCTTCTAACACGGTCACTGATGGCTCATGGAGCTTCTCTATTATGGTCTGTATTATCATGTATGGAGTCTCTAGAAACCATCACAGGCCGTTACAGAGAAATTTAATGATTAATTAATAATTAATTAATTTCTCTGTAACGGTCTGGGGGGATGTGTCCAAAATTATACCCTATATACTTCAACGCTCCTTTCACATCGTGTTTCACACAATGTTCACTGATAAAATACTTGTATACCCTTCCTTTATGAAGTTAATTTAGCCTTTATTCGCCGTTTCAACTAAGAATAGTTCTCCTTAATTCTCTTTTCTTGAATGAGTGGTGCGCAAGTACGGGTACAACTTGTACTGGCATCTACTACCCCATCTTACTCCCCCAAAACCTAGAATTCTAGGTCTTTCGGGAGAAGAGGGGGTAGTTACGAGTGGACCGTTGATTTTAATTTGAGTCATTTAAGAGGCTTAATTAAGTGGTTAAGTGCCTTGTTCGAAATATATTGGAACTTTAAAATGTGCGAAATAGCTATTATAGCTGTAAAATAAATTTCAACTTAATTTTGGTATCCTGAGAATCCGTCCATGTGTCTGATTGCTTTTCTCAATTTTATTTCATAAGTCATCACAACTCATCTTCTTATGCCTGAGGTCCTCCCCAAGGATTTAGAAAAACATTTGTGTCGCTATTCTGTTTCAGGTCTAACGATTTTGATAACCGTAAGTTTGCTCTTTTAAATATCATTTCATTTTGTGCGAGTAATCGAACAAGAAGAAAGATTTGCAACCCTCTATGAAAGCCGGAAAAACCAGCTTTGACTTACCAGTTCATTAAGTTTTAGTGTGTATTTGTTGAAAATAGGTCTATTCGGTGTAGAATCTTTCTTTCTATCACAATCTATAAGAACTTCTAGGAGGGTGTGAATGTGGGTGTGGGTGTCGATAAAGAGAAGACCCACACCCACATCCTCTCAATAACAAAAAAATCAGACAATAATGATTCTAAGGTGACAATAAAACTTCGCCATCTGACTCAAAAGGTTCGTTAAACAATCTGTATTACTATTACTATGTGCGAATAAGTAATAACTAAAACTATTCATATCTTTTTGGTCAAGAAAAAAGTTACTCAATAGATATTTATTGCTTAATTATAAAAACTTTACTGTTTTTATTCGACTAATTCGTTGAATTTCTTGTTGGTTGAATAAAAAAAATAAAATGATCGGTTGTGTTAGAAAATGTTATTGGAGACTTTCGCTACGTGCTCTCGTTGCCATTACTGTTCTATTGGGTTTCTCATTTGTTAATGAACAAAGGTTAAATGATTTCGGAAGAACAAATAGTATTAAATGCATAGGAAATTATTTTATCAATGTCATAGAACTCACCTGTAGCTACGACAGAAAGACAGAAAGACAGAAAAAAAATGACATGAATTATAAATTGATAAATTATCTGAGATGCTACAATTATTCCCTAGAATTGCATTTTGAACTACGCATATATGACACTGTATACAAAGACACGACTTTGTAGGAGTGCACAGTCATCATCCATGCTGAGACACTAAAATAACGAGTCAATCATGTTACCCAAAGTTTTCATAGACGTGAAAACACTTTAGTGATAGACGAACTCTATCTCTTTCTTTTCTTCCGAGTTTACATGAGCCTCAATTCGATCTCGTATTAGGTAGCTTATATTTGTATCAGCTGATATTTGTAGGGAACCAGCTTTAGGAAAATTCTATTCCATCTATAAACTGATGGTTCAGATAGTTTTTTTTATCTAACTGTGTGCCGTAATTACAGAGAAACTCGATCTCATTTATAAATGTAAAATTCAAGGCAAACGTTTTTGTGTCTATGTGCCGTACTTTTAGAAAAGTTCGATCTCATTGATTAATTTTTCATTACGATAAAAGTTTTTTTCTTTCTGTGTACCTTAGTCAAACGAACGTCCCATCTCATTTAAGAATTTTTAATTACAATAAAAGATGTTTCTGTCTGATGCAAGCGTCGGCAATTTTTCCAATTATTTGCGAATTCATATTATAAGTTCTGTTAGGCACACTTATATTGTAATCAGAATTAGACAACTCGCAGATTTTCTTATTTAGTTTCTTCTATTATGTAAGATTTCATTTTGCTAGTAAAGAAACAAAGATGTTAATTAGGCGCACATGTGAGAAAACATTTGGCACTTAAGATAAAAAAAAGTATGAAAAATGCTAATCATAATTTATCCTCGCCTGTCATGCAATATTCGTTATTAGCATGTCCACAGTATGTTGAATATAATCGCTAGCTTCATTTAGACAAAGATTTGAATTGTATAGGATACAGCTAATATAAAGTATAAAGTCTGTTGAAAAAAGAATGAACAGAAATAATAAATGAGATTTGATTATAAGAGGTACTTATTTAGTATTACGTTGAAAAGTAACGTTAAATCATTCATTATATTTTTCCTATAGAGTTGTAATAGAGGGAAGTCAAGACAACAAATCACTCGTACTTATTAGGCATGAAAGATACTGCATCTACATTATCTTTCTCAAAATTTTTGGAAGAGTGTGTGCTCATGTTATAAATGTAATATCTTTATGAAATACTGAACAAATGTGCACAAGTTTTGTAACAAAGTAGAAACAGGTCTTTTTTTTATATATCAATGAATGAATTTTTGAGAGAAGCTGAGAAATGATCGAGTCATGAGGGATAGTATGTAGGCGACTATTACATTTCTATATAAAAGCACTATCGGCAATAAGAATACTAACGCAAAAATTGTCTCTAATTGGAACGCACCGGTAAAAATACATTGAATAACGTTACTCAATGTATTTTTCCCGGGGCGTTCCAATTGCAGACAACTTTTGTATTAGCGTTCTTATCGCCGATAGGGCTTTTATTTAGACAGGTAACAATCGACTTCAAACTACCGCTCATGACTCTATCATTTCACATGGTTTTCACTGATCTAAAAGATCCTTTCTCTCAACAAACACTTTCATAGCTGGTATGGATTTGTGTGCTATCTGTAATGTGTACCGAGTAGAGGATCAACACAAATATGATAACTAATAGAGCTCTGAAACGAAGTGATATAAAATGTGAATGAATGTGTACGAGTCATGGTTCTACTATATAGTGAGCAGTAGGGGTGGGCCATTAACATTAATTTTATATTAATGTTAATGTTTCTCATTAATCATTAATATTAATGCTTAATGTT